TTAAAACTTTAGTATTTGAGATTCTAACAAGATAATTAAATGCACAGCATAATTTTTACCTTTAAACTTTAGAAAAAGATTAATTATACTATTTTAGTATTTGTCAAGACTTATAATATATTAATAAAAAATTCAGGTTTTTTTTAAATTTTAATTATATCACAAGCTTTACTTTATTAATTAAGAAGAAAATAATAAAGATAAACTGAGTTAAACAAGAAATATATCTTTTTTTTTAACAGATATAAATGATGTCGGCCAATCAAATTCTGCAAATCTTTATATATAAAACAGGACTCTTTCTAATGATCTTTTGGTTAACAACAACAGCAAACCAAACTACAGAAAAATGATATAGAAACGTCCATGAAAGATACTTCTCAGTTTTACCTTAAAGTAATACAGTTGTTGATGAAGCTTGAAGACATAAAATATCGAAGAGCGAACATACTTTAGATGGTTTTCTTGAGGTTAAGCCTTCTTCTGCTTAGAGGTGGACTCTCTAAGTTATTCAGCATCCAAACCAGAAAGGTTTTTTAGAAACTGATATTACTTAAGTGTAGGTTGTTGTCGATGAAGTCTAGGAAATGTAATACACCGAAAAGCAAATGTAACTTAGACAGTTTTTCTTGAGATCAAATCTTTGCTATATTGAATGAACTCTCTAAGTTATTTAGCATCCAAACCAGAAGGGCTATTCTGGAAACAAGTAGTAGTCAAAAGACTCTTACTGAGATAGTTGAAGCTTAAAGAATTGTCTATACAACTATAAAACTTACAAAAGAACCTTAAATATTCTCATTGACCCTCTGCTTTTTTTTTGAGGAAAATTTTGTAAAAAAGTAGACAACTTAGCTTACTTCTTCCAAAAAATCAATATATTGTTTACTTACCAAATCAGTCAGCATTGTTTACTTTTTCCTGTTACAACAAATATGTAGATATGCATAGAATATAAACATGTAAATTATGTGCTTCAGAAGTGGCAATTCAAACAAACAATGCTTCGAGACTAATAGTATGGATTTCTGACTTCTCTATGATGACGATGTTGAAGAAGCTGATTTTTTTGCTTTTTATGATTTTTTGCTTAGATATACTAATTATATAGATTAGAGTAGAGACTAGTTTAGATAGTATAGTATATAATTTTACAAAGCTCAAAACAGGCTTATAATTGTGACTGTCTGGTATAGGTATATTCTATATTTTTCTTTTTTCATTTTTTCCTTTACCTCTTTATTTTCTTGTTTGTATCTTTTATCGTATTCTCTTATACCTCTGTGTTTTTTTTATAAAATAATTTTTTCTTTTTTTTTCACTTTTCTATGAAAAGATGTCATCAGATTGGTGATATCCTATTGTAGGGTAGTGGTCAGACAAGCCCTCTGTTTAAGGTATTATATTAATTGATCATATCTCTATGGTGCAGCAGATCAACTGTAGATACGTGTAGATAATCAGTTAGATTATGTGAGGTAATTGCAGGATGTTAGGGTCAAAGTTTTATTGTATTACATCTTTCACGAGATGGGCTTTAATAAACAGGAATCACTGATGCGACTTTGCCTAAGTGGAAAAAAAAAAAATTTTGCAAATCTTCATATGATTTGTTTCAATTGCACAAAACATACAAACTTCAAAATGCTAAAACTTTTTACAGAGTTACTATTTCAAAAAACTGACCAATAACTTTGTTTTTCATAATTGGCTCTACAAAGTTATTAGCTAGTTTTTCAAAATAGTATAGTGCATGACACTTAAAGACTACATTTGTCCTATTTTGGAACCCAAAACTAAAGTGCGTTAAAAAGCTGATTTATGCACAAATTTCGAATTCTGTGCCATGTCACATAATCAGACCAATCATACATCTCCAAATCACGTTTTCAACAAACATTTTTACATAAAAGCATGTACATGCATATACTATATGTACTGTATAGCATAGACTAAAATATCTAGCTACTTTGCAGTATATGGGTATTATATAGCTAAAAGGATACTATAGTTAGCATAGGGGTATAAGTTGCATATTTTTATATTCTAATTACAAGCAATCCATTTTAGTACCCGGATATTTTACAATTTAGCCATCTTTAGAACTCTGGGTACAATACATTCCAGACCTTTAAAAATTGTAAGGTGTACTATAATAGGTGGGTCTTTTAGTCCATGCTATATGATATATACAGACTTTATCGAGCATTTGTAATTTTCATTATTAGAATAAAGTTTACAAATATCATTTACCCTGTATATGAATAATCAGAAAAGGTGCATTTGCTTAAAAATTTGTAGATATATTTGATCACAAATAAATATATTTACAATCTCAATTCTTCTTATTTGCTGCATGTAAAGGTTCCGTGATCAATAAACTTCAAAATTTATTTAAAAAAATAAATTTAAATTTTAAAGAAAATTAAAATTTAAAATTTAAAAAAAAAAAAACAAAAAAAATTTTTAAAATTTTTTTTTAAAAAAAAAAAAAAATTAAAAATTTTTTTTCTTAAAATTCGCCAAGACCAGAGACAAAATTGAACTTATTAAAGAATAAGATAGGCACATTAAAAGAAACTGAATTAGACTATTCCAACTCTAGTTGATTATAAAAAAAAAAAAAAAGTTAATTACTGAACAATTATTTTTATAGTGTCATTTCTTTTTGATATTTCTAATTATGACCTTCATTATTAATGCATGCCTTTACTATTTTCTTGTATAAACAGGGCTAGCTCATTTTTTGGTATTCTCCTATATGACTTAAATTTCTTGCAAATATACTCTGCCAACTTTCCTGTTAAACCTTTATGATATAATTCTATATATCTTCATGACTTTCGTGCAAATCTTCTAATTGTAATGATATTGACCGAATTAAGTGCTTGTGGAACAACTTCTTGCAAACCAGACCAAGTGTAATCACAATGTTTTCTCACATAGTATTTAGCAGCCCCCAATACATTTCAATGAAATTAAGTTCACAATGGAACTTGGGATAGAAAACGCAAAAATGACCAGCTTCTTCTATTAGCTCTACAATAGCTAACTTTTGTGCAATAAAATTAGGTTGCGAAGTTATTATCTTTCTTGCACAATAGTTTACTCGTGAATTATCTTGCAAAAACTTCTTGCCCTTATATGCCTTGCATTCTAAAAACAACCCATCCTTTCAAAGACTCCTTTCTTTTAACACTACTTTAATACCTTTTGGTTTGCCTCTTATAGTTTCATCATAGTCCTTATCTTTCTCGAATACATAGTCTTCTTCAAATACCATATGCTGGGTTTTCTCTTGTCTGTCAGCCCCAACAAAGGTTGTTGATCGCATTATCAGCTGATTTCCACCAGGTTTTAGGTTCATTCTTGCAGCAATAAGAGCGTCTTCTGCATATACTGCATGGTTTGTACTATTGTTGAAGGCAAAAATGGCTGTTGCATTTGGAAATTTTGTCTCAAAAATAGAAATTGCTTTATTCCTGATTTGTGCTAATAAATCATTGACTGTCCAAAAATCTTCTTGGTTTTTACCAAGAATTAGATAACAATGCTCCTCTATGATAACATTCAGGTGCATCCTTATTTCTTCTTTGCTTAGTTTCAACTGACCACATTCTTCTAAAAAAATTCACTCACCATAATTGATCTACCATTTTCTTTTTTTCACAACGGCATATTCCCATCTGACACCCAAATGTCTCTTTTCCTATCATTTGTATAAAAAACATATTCATCATATATAACAAGGATCAATTCTCATTCATCAGCATTAAGTACTAGTGGAATTTTTTCTATTAATTCTCCTTCATATCTGAATAATAAAAATTTTTTAAATTATTGTTGAAATTATCTTAAATATATCTGCATGGAATGTTTGCTAATATAATAACCCTTTGGAACTATCTTGAAGCATTATTTTGTTAGCAAACATCCCATATTATTTAAATTTATATCTCGCTATTTGAAGTTTCAAGCTTTTAATTTCTTCCAAAAACTTCTTTCGATATACAACTACATCATCTCGTTCATGCCTATCGTGATATATACCTTTTCGATATGACCTGAATTGGAACCTCAAAATGTTCAACCACCTTTCGGTTGTTCGTAAAGAGATTGTTTTTTTTGTTTCTCCTGTATACTTTGGGAAAAATAGTATCATTTATATATTCTTGAAACACATATGAATCAATACCATTAACTCCAAAATTTTGTCGCAACTAACGTCTACATTGCATGGCAATGTCTTTGTCATCAACAAGTCATTTGTGTTTTTGGTGTTTGCTGCAATGTGAAAGTGGAAATGATCCATAATCCAAATAATATTTGGCTAAAGAATGAATCCTTCTAGCTGTATATAGTTTGGGTGTAATATATGTCTTATACACAGCCTCTTGGCTTGCTTTTTCCTTTTCATACCCATCTTCCAACAATACAAAGTACTTATAAATTGTCTGACATTCATTATATTCAAATGCTGTGATTGCATATCTATTTTCATTAAGATATTCCCAAAGCCAGTTAATTCCTTTATACATTGTGATAGGCAAAACTTCATTTGGTATTGCAAAGTTACTTCAAAAATAAATAAATAAATTTGAGTCTTATTCATAATTTTAAATTGTACTGCTTGTTCAAAATTAAAAAAAAAAAAGTCTTTTTTTTATTGCAAAAAATTAAAAAAAAGCCAAAATTAAAAAAAAAAAGTCTTTTTTATTGCAAAATTAAAAAAAAAAGTCTTTTTTTTATTGCAAAATTAAAAAAAAAAAGTCTTTTTTTTTATTGCTGTTAATAATCAATACTTTGAACAAGTAGTAAAATCAATCACAAATAATAAAACCTGATTAACTAACTTGGTGATCCCCAAAAAACTTGTAATTTTATGAGTTCTCTTAGCAGCATTCGTAAGGGTGCCGGAAGTACCGAACTTCGATAGTAAGTTGTTTTTGGCATTTCTTTAATTATTCGTGTTTTTTGTTCTTTCATTTTTCTCACTGGGGTCATGGTAAGTAACTGTCACATATTCTTTTATCTTTGTAGTCAGTCTCTTTATTGTCTTTCTCTTCCCTATCAAACTCACTATCCTCCCCTGAAACCTGCATTTCATCTTCATCCTCATCCTTGTTGAACTCACTATCCTTCCCCAAAACCTGCATTTCATCCTCTTTCTCAATTTTAACCTCTATTTTAAAATCTCTTGTCTTTCGTCTTCTTTCGGCTTGTTTTTTTCTCTGTTTATTGTATTCCTTAAGTTTACTATACTTTTTTCTCTTCCATACTTATTAAAACACTTTAACGACAAAAGAATGTATTTCATTTGTAGATTCTTGCTGTATGTAGGTTCTTAGCACCAAATATGCTTGTATATAGGTTCTCACTAAAGGTACAAATTAGGTTTCATATGCAAGTTCTTATCAGGGTCGCACACAGATTGTTTTGTATGTGAGTATCAAGGGCTGCACAAACTGTTTCTTACGTATGTGAGGCCGCCCACAAATTATGTCTACTTAGAAATATGTGCAAGTACTATCAATATTCTTTATGTATAAGTTAAATTTTTTTTTTTTTTAAAAAAAAAAAAAGATCTTGATTTAACATCACAATCACAGGTTATGCGATTTGTCATGTGATTTGCCTACTAATTCACCCAATCAAATTGTTATATACGCAGTACAAAAATTTGATTGGCCGATCTATTTGTCCCATTTTTGGCCGATTTTATATGTTGTTATATAAAAATACTATATTTTTAAGGTTATATACCTTCAAAAACTATAATAATTTTTTAAAAAACAAAGCTGCTAAGTTGTAGCAAATTGGTTTAGCTACAAATTGGTGGCCTTCTTTATTGATACCATTTCTAGATCAAAAGTTATTAGATTTTGAATTTTGTGTAATCTTTAAGTGTCGTGCACCATATCTCTATAAAAAGTTTTAGCATTTTGGAGATTTTTGATTTTTTGTTCACATAATTAGTAATTATAGATTTCTGAAACTATATAAAGAATCTTTTATAATTTGTTACTAAAAAGGATTTAAGGAGACCCTAACTTAAAGTATATAGTATCTTATAAAATTTTATTAAGTCTAAGCTCAAATTTTATAACTAAAAACATATGAAGACAAGCAGTATTAGTATATACTGATAATATTATATAAACAGCAGAAAATAAAGACTAAATAGAAAAAACACTTGTAATTACAGAAGAATTTTTCAGAATAAATAATATTCAAATGAATGAAAACAATAAAGTTAATTATAATAAACTCAAAAGATACCAAAGAAGAGAAAAAGATTTTTTTAGAAAAGAATAGATTTATAAAGAAAAAGAAAGCAAAATATTAAAATTTCTTAAGATTTAGCTAAATAGCAAGATAAGAAAAAAGACAATTAAAACTAAAACAAAGAAAATTATATGATTAATATCAAAAAGCCTTGTTATAAAAAAATAACGATTAGTCAGATGTCTTATATAAATAATATATATATAATTTCTAAATTATGCTATATATTACAAACTATAAAAATAATCAAGAAAATGATAAACAATATATATACACCATTAATCAAATTAACAAAGAATAAGATAGAAATAGCAATTACAATAAAAATAGTCTAATATATCACAAAAGTATAAAAAACTGTAATTTTTTATAAAATTAGCTATACTTAAACAGATCACAAATTTATATAACTATTTTAATTCAACCAGTCCAAAGAAGATACTAACCAAAATGCAACAAGCCGAAACTTCTACATCTTCTACTGCTCGTGTACTTTTTCTTAGCTTTCAAACAGATCCTAGTCCTTGCCAAATTATTGAGCACTCACAACACTATCATACATGTTATGTCTGCAAAC